TTTTTCTGAAGATACCTGTGTGTTCCTCTTCTTCCTCATCTCCCTGAAAGCTTCCATCTTGGTACTTTTTTTTTCCCCCCAATAGGAACTGAGACCCAGGCTTTTTAGCGATGAAATGGTGCCGCCTGGTGGTTACTTCCTGTAACACTCAAGTCTGACTCAGCTTTAATTCATTTCAGTGAGCTGGAATGGAGAGAGCTTGAAGAGCTCTCTCTAGATCTATTTTCTAGATAGATCTAGGTGATCCGGATGCTGGTGGTTCTTTCTGGAACACAGGGGAGCACCAACTGTTTCTTGGTTCTTCCATTCCTCAGCATGCTCTGCCCAACACTGGCTGGTAGCTTGGTTATGGAGACATATGCAGCAGATAGTTAATATTTGGAGTCTGGTGGAGCCCACATTAGCGTCCCTCTTCATTGGTGTCCTGGAGGTCACATCCAAGATGCTCAGAATACAGACAGTACCCTGTCCCCCTTTCTGTGTCCACATTATTTCTCTAGGGGGCCTTTGATCCTGCAGGTCACTAAGGGTTTGTTGTCTAAGCCACTGAGCCATAGATCCTTTCCCTCTGTCGTAAAATGGTGCTCTGAGAGCTGTTTAACTCAAGGCTGCCTCCTTCTCTGCTCCCTGGCTGCTCTGAAGTGAGAAGCTTTCTTCTGCCATGATTTTCTGTCATTGCCATAGGCCTAAAAGCAATGGAGCCAGCTAGTTATGGAGGAGGTGTGAGAGCCAAAGTTACATTTTAAGTTTTAATTACTGTGCCTTAGAGAGCCATGAAACAAAAATGCCTCTGATCTGCAAGTTCCTTGCAGATATCTGCAAGAACAGATAGATGAAATGACGGAGCCTATTGTATATATAGGAGATAACAAGCCACACGTTTGTTTTCACTCCCCTAAAGAAGTTTTTTTGGCCCATCTATACCAGATGTATTTGATCACATGTGGGCGGGTCACAGTCAGGAAATATGTCAGGATATATCCTTGCCCTTGATTGGATGTAGGCTGGAGGTATATCAGGATGTGTGCTTGCCCCTGATTGGACCTGATGGGAAATGCAGTGAATTATGGGTTTTCCTTCTTAAGCCACTGTAAACCGTGAGTCAAGGCCATTTCCCAGGAACCTGGGTATGGACCTGGCCAGAGCCCATCTGCCTGGCCAATATTTAATTAAAGCTTGCTTCAAATTTGGCTTAAGCTGTGGTAGTGATGGTAGTGATCTTATTCTCCACTGGCAGGAGTAACAGAATCATTTAAGACTATAAGTCAAAATACACTTTTCTCCTTTCAAAATAAACCTAACTATATTTGATTTCCCCAAGCCTAAAATGCAACATTCCCCACAATATATAAAGAATTTAACATTTTAAAATTAGGAACTATTTAGCCATCAATGTCAAAAGAAACTGGTTCCACCATTTTCCCAGCACTGAACCTCTGAGTGGTTATTACCCTCTGGAAAGGTAAAAAGTGTGGTGCTGTGGGATGTCTTTCTGTACACTGTGAATATGTGTGTTCCCCTTGGTTAATAAATAAAGCTGCTTTGGCCTATGGCAAGAAAGCTTACAGTCAGGCAGGAAATCAAGAGAGAGAGAGAGAGAGAGAGAGAGAGAGAGAGAGAGAGAGAGAGAGAAGAAAGGCAGAGTCGGGAGATGCTGCGAGCCGCCAACAGGAGAAGCAAGATGTGAGAGAACAGGTAACACCATGGCCAGGGGGTAAAACATAGATGAATAGAAATGGGTTAATTTAAGATAAAAGAAGCCTGAGCCATAGGCCGTACAATTTGTAGTTAATATAAGCCTCTGAATGATTATTTATAATCGTCTACGACACTGTGGGTGGGAGAGATTCCTCCAGACCGGGGGGCTGGGCGGGACCAGAGAAACTTCCGGCTATAGTGCAGGGC